ATCCCGGTCACTCCGCTTCACGAACCTACGCTGATCCGTGTGGTGAAGTATGGTTAAACAACGGGCATGACCCCACACTGGTTGGGGAAGCCTTCATCCAGAAATTGATTGATTAATGGAACCGGAAGAAAAGCTAAAATAAAATAACTATCGGTACTGAGGCTCCCACAAAGCCTTGCAGGAAGGCATGTGGCACAGTTTGGTGCCAGCTATCGTAGAGTGCGGTTGTGTTGCTACGGTTCCCTGCAGTGATTATAATGTCACTAAAAACAACGGTGCTATGCCTCTCAATAAATGTAACGCTCAACCGCTTGCACGTTTCAAGATTCAGCGGTGAATGGGATCCACCCTGCAACTTGCAGACGTCTTGAAACGGGAAAGGGTTAGTGGTAATAGGATATATATTTTTTAAACATCTTCTTGATGAATGCCTCATACAGGATGTTTTAAAGAGAAAATGTGTAAGAGCAAGCATTCTAATAATTCAGATTAATGATGAGCTTGTTATGAGGCATAATCTCATTAGTCTACGCATATAACAGAATCTTTACATGAAAGGTGACTATATATTTAAGCAATCCATTTGAAAGGAAGCCTTTTCTCAATGGTCTCTTTTTATAATAAAGCTGATTACTGATGATATTACATCTAATTTTTCTCTCTACGTTTTTGTTCCATTGTGAAGACTCATTCACCTCGCTTGCATAGCCTCCATTAAATCATCGCATGCATGCATGTGCTTATCCATGTTGATATTGAAAAAAGAGCCAATTATTTTATCTTAAAGCACAAGAGCCGTGTCTTGAAAGGCCATGACATTTAGAGTTCATTTATTCACAAGAATAAGCTACGACTTATTGCAGTATTGGCTTTGAGGTCAGCCAATTTATTCCTCTGTCTTATTCATCCATACTTAAATATGTATGTTTAAAAAATGCCGATGAATCGCAGAGAATGATCCTCCTGAGTGTACGTCTATCGAACAATTTGCAAGGTGTTTACATCAAGCAATGGGATCTCATGTCCAGGTCTTATGATGAAACTTTCCATTAAAACTTCCTTGCCCAGCCAACCATTCACAGTCACATCCAGTCCAGCAATCGCTTGCAAATCGGTGCCTTGCGTCGGCATACGTCGATGCTCGATCGTTGTTGTTTTATAAAGGCCACACGCTTGATTGAATGTGCCCGAGCTAAAGGGAGGCGCAGTGCTGGCCTCACTTTACGAACGGCCACACACCGCTTCCACGTGCTCACATCCGTGTGCATCATTAACATCACGCCGTCCACAACTCCATTTAATTTAAATTGTTATTATTCTACGAAAATATATTGTTTCGTTTTTGTCTACGTAGTTTTGTAACAATTTTTTTTCGTGATTTTGTTTGTTTTTAGATTATCCCATTGATGGAGACTTAGTTTGTTAAGTCTCGGTGGCGAGATATTAACTACCACGCCTGGTATACAGGAGGTTGTAAGTTCGACCCTGACGCCTGTATATTTGGAGTTTGCATGTTCTTCCTGTGGTCGTGTGGATTTTTCACTGGGTCCTCCGGTTTTTCCCCCTACATTTAGAAACATGCATTTAGAGTATTTGGCTGAAATAAATTTCCACATGATAAACCACTTAATTGAGCTTTCATTTGTGACCAGGTTGCTTCTGAAAAAAAAAGCTGTAGAGCTCAGTGGACCTTACCTGGTAAAATAAAAAATAAAAAGTCTGCACATTCCTCTGTGTCCCATTCTCTTTAATGAGCACAAGCCCCATCTCGACAATGCTTTTAATGAACAAAAACTACCCATAATACTTTGCACATTCTCCTGTACTTTGCAGGGTGTATTGGTTGTTCTATGGACTTATGGAAAAATAAGTATTGTTTGCTTTGAAGGCCCTTTGCCAAAAACATTGCTGATGATATTTTTTTTATTTGTAAGGCTATTTTATTGACGAGTGTCAATTTTATCATGGGTTATCCAAAATGCAATCTGCCAACAACATTTCATAATTTGAATAATTAATGAGTTCAGGTAGTACTGCATTTTGGATAAATTAAGGGGGTTCTCTGTTACTCAGTATTTACTATGAGGCAACTATTCATTTGCCATTTAAAACTTCGTCCACTCTATCACTGTGGCCTCTGCTATGAAGAAAGAGCTATTATATTCTTGGTTCTTTCGGTAAAGTCACATGGAAAGAAAATAAATTAAATAATAGAATACGACGTTTCGATTGCAACATGAGCAACCGTCATCAGGTAAAACTAAATTTGAGAGAGAGACAAAACGCAGACACAGACACACAAGCAGAGAGAGACACACACAGGGACACACAGAGAGACACACAACATAGACACACAGAGGCAGAAAGAACCAAAGAGTAATTGTTGCAGTCACGAAAGCTTCAAATCAAGTTTGAGCTATTGCCTGTCATGAATATTTTTTTTTACTTTTAAGGCCACACACATAGTCTTAATTGATGAATGTGTTCAATTGAATCAATGAGCAGCCGGAAACCTGGGTTTGTTGAACGCAGGAACTCTGTGGTGCTGGATCAGCGCTCGAACCTCTGAGCCCCCTGCATTGCAACGCTCATTGTGCAATTACTTAGCTCGGTTTGAACAGAGATCATTGGTAAATGTGGACAAAAACCATGGATTTTGAGGAATGGAGTTTGGCAAAATATGTTCAGGAAATAGGACGTATTGGCGGTACACCAGTGCAGCTTAACACACCGGTCTTCATAAAACAGTCTAAAAGCTAAATTTGAATCGGCAAATCTGTTTATCAGTCTTTATTTGACTCTGTCGCCAAGCTTGATGCGATTCGAAGGTTTATTCAGTCTACTGACAATTGCTAAAAAAAATATCAATATTGATCGTTGATTTGGGTCCGCCGAATTGAGGAACCGTCCGACCAAGTCTAGGGCACGAGGAGTCAAATCTGCCTTTGGAACACGGAGCAGCCAATCATCATCAGGCTTGGTGCTGCTACACGGCAACAGACTGTGAAGCTTTGTGTTCAGCTGCTCGTAACATTCGTCTTCCGACTGCGTCGACATCACGAGAACTGATTTTTACAAACCCCGCAAGATTTTCCGACCGGGGTTTCGAATTGCAGTGAAATAAATAGTTATTGCGAGAATTGTGCTTTTTTTTTTATGCCGCGCACCGTTGTACCACCAATATGTTCAAATGACCTAAACATCCCGATGTAGGATTCTCCTGATGATAGCAAAACTCTAACCCTCCACAGTGATAGACCCAAAATCTATTTCTGAAGTGCCTTAAACACACCTCACTGTCCTGCAGCGTGGGTGTCCACACACAGGCGGCTCTGTCTCTATCTGTGCCACGAACCCTGTCTTTTATCGCTGGATTGTAAGCACGCATTATGTATTCACTTAAGATTCAGCATTCTCCCTTTGGGAGCCTAGGAGTTAGAATATACGCGTTAATGAAAGGTTAGTTCATTTGAAATCTGTGATCAGAGACGATCGTGCTTTTGTGTGCTTTTGGTCAAGTGGTGGGAAGAGCGGAAGTTAGAGCGTCAGGTTAACTTGCACGAAGATATCGTTGTCATCTTTGTGCCATCAACTAATTTTAATGAATTATTATGTGATCGCTATCACAGCAAATGCAGCTGTGCTCTATTATCTGTGGGTGTTTTGCATCCCTTATGCAGAAATGTGGCTTTTGCAAAGATTGTTCATGCATAGTCTTGTCTTTGCCCTGGTTAGCACCCTAATTAAAAATACAAAGCAGTTTTATTAAAATAATTTTGATATGACTTCAGTTTGCATAATAAACAGCTTTTATGCATCTCAAATTGCCTTTCTGTGTAAAAGTGCATTTAAAACCATTCATATTTATCTGGTTCCAGGAGAAGTTTAAAGATCCATTTTTGTTACCATTCAGCATCTTATCAGCTGGGCAAAACAACTGGTGCAATTAGCTGAGCATCGCTAATTAGTCATTTAAACGCAGCTATTTAGTAACAGCAACAGAACAAAGCTGCAGACGTTTCAGCCATTTTGTTTATCTAGGAATCCTTCTCAAGCACGGCCGTTTGTTTTCATCGCCCTGTAAAATTCACGCCAAGCGACGAAGCTCGTGACATATTGGTAGCTGAGACATGGAACATGCACCCAGTGATATCTAAAAAGGCAGTGGAGTGATCAAATTAAACGGTATGTGAGAGTAAGAAGATTGCAGTTAAAAAAAACAAAACTAGAGGCATCAACATTGGCTCGGACAAGCCAGCGTTATATATTGCACTGTTAAAGCGAGGGTTGGCGGATCACACGAACGTTGTGAAAATCCCTTCCCGCGGGCATTGAAGAGGAGCCATGTCTTTGCTCGCCAAGAGAAGGCGGTTCAGCAATAAATGTGCACTGCATTTCTTCCATCTGTATGGAATAGAGTGTTGTCCCACCGCATGCGTGGGTTTCTCTGGGTACTCCGGTTTCCTCATACACTCATTAGTTGGTCAATAGCACCCGGACATATATAGAGGACTACAGATCTTGAGGGGGGTGGGGGAGGGATTATTACATTTTCAGACCTTATAAAACTATCTTTCTCATGAATGCCTCCAGGAAAAGGCATTCAAAATGCTTCTGAACAAAATAATAATGAGGCTTGTTCAGCTTAATATTGGGCTTGTCGACAATCGTCATCTTCACTTAACCCTGCATTCACGTTCACGGCACCAATGATTGTCACACGAAGCGACCGACGATTACCATGGGAACGTGACATTTCCACGGTTGGCTTGGCACCAATGGCATTGCTTCACACTTGCCTCATCGCTCGTTTGAGCGACCAAGACGCTCCGGCTCTCGATTCCTTTTTGACGCCACCTCGAGTCCCTGTGAAACAAAATGTCATTAAAGGAAATCGGTGCCTCTCTGAGCCACATTTGGCCCCCTTTTCACTTATCTGCTCGGCCTGATGCGGCGCTCGCTAATTGTTATTTTTTTTTCCCTCTGCCTTCTTTGTTTAGATCGTCTTGGGAGTTGCGCTTTCCCTCGTCGCCCTCCTCATCATCGTGACTTTGTTCCTGTCAAGGTAAGCTGCGGCGAGCTGTTTTTGGTGGCAATACCTCAAACCGCTTTTCGAAAGACGGGCCCGATTAAAAGCTCTCCCAGCACGAGTCCACCCGCGTTACACGCGTCTCTCTCTTTCTTTTTTTGACGTCGAAGCAAATGCGAAGTCCCCGTTATAATGTAACCCCGCTCAGGCTTCCCTGCGCAGCCAACTAATTCACATAGTCAGACGTTTACTAAATAAAATGTGGTTCCAGGGGAGACCGTCGGAATACTTCGGTGGGCGCGAGTGTGTGGTGTATCAGAACGGGTATGAACTGTCAGAGGGAAGTGTCCTTGTGGGAGCGTGACTGGGTGTCTTTGGGAGCTGCCATGACCTTCAGTGTGACCTCAGGTTTGACTCCCAGGTGCTTGCTTACAAATGCGTGACAATTTAAGTCCCCTTGGTATACTGCTTTTAAAATGGGGTCTTCTGCCTGCAGCATTATTAGTTGCAGTACCAAAAACCACAATCATCTAAAGCAGCACGTTGCATATATATAAATAGGACGCATATATATAATGTAATTGATTAAAGGAATGGAACTTTGTATAAAGTAAATCGTGTTAATCACATGAATGTGCTGGCTTGCATCATGGGACTGTGGAATTTCCTCTGTTGGCCCAGGGCTGCCAACAGACATGAGCAGTGAGACACTTTTCTGTGACCTGACCTAACATCTGTATGTAACAAAACTGAATGATAATGAACGGCTCTTTTGTGAATAAACTGCTGGATGAAGGCCTCTCAATGACCGTGTCAGTTAAAGAAGTTGTTTGACTATACTTCACCACACCGGGTCAGTACAGGTTTGTGGAGGGGATCCCACCCAGGGCTATGCATATAAGCAGGACTTCCTGTGTGCATGTTGTAAGACTTATATAAACATTTGCACGGCCTTTAATAATATTTGGGTGATATGAGGCTGTTCTGTGAAGTACTGTTTGCCATATCTGGCCAAACTGTTTCTGTAAGATTTGCCGTTTTTGATACAGAATATATATATTTTTTTAAACAAACACAGTTTTTTTTTATTTAAAGCTTTCGTGACTGCAGGGATTCATATTCTCTGTTCTTTCGGTAAAGTCACATAGAAGGAAAACAACAAAATCAGATCATCAGATGATGATTGCTTGTGTTGCAGTCGAAACGTCGTGATAATTTTAATGTTTTATATGTTTCTTATTTTATTGTTTCCCTTCTACGTGACTTCACCGAAAGAACCAAGAATACGAAAGACACTTGATCACATTGAAGAATTGCGGTATCAGATCCATTCATGTCAGACTGATAAAATAAATTTCACGTGGCTTTGCTGTAATCGATGGCTCCCGTGTGTTTTGTGCGCAAGCCTGGATCGAGCAATGCACTCCCTGGGCTTTTCAACTGGATTCCTGCTGCTGAACGTGACCCTTCCTAACCCCATCAACCTGGCCCTCGTCTACCTCCAGCCGGTGAGGAACCCAACACCCACCAGAGGGCCTTCGTTTCGTCGGCACACGAGAAGGGTGGCCAGACGTGTTTGAGAGCCGGGCGATGTCGATATCCTCGATCTATGTCGAGGACATCGAACAGGGATGGTTCACTGCAACGCGCGCTTTAAGATGTGCTCCTGCGGCCGTCTGGAATGCTCTTCCTTCCGATATTAGGAAGCCACTGGAGCTTTGCGCTTTGCAATCTAAATTGAAAACTACTTTTTTCAGTTAGTTGTCCTTCCCTCCCGCACTGCCCATTATAATGGTTGGATATTTGTAGTGGGAAAGCATTTCAACATACATACACGCATACATACGGAAGGAAAGATCTCACCAACACAATCCAGAGAGATGTTAATTCCTGCTGGTCCACGCACACCATTATACAACGGTTAACAGGGCCCAATGCTGCACATGCCACGTAGACCAGCAGCTATTAAAAGGTCTCATGATTGGCTGTCGAAACACCCGGATGTGAAAATCCTGCAGCTGGAGAAATCATTCTTAGTGAGATCTCTTTCCTTACCCATAATTGTTTAGTAACCTGATTTGCATTGTTTACTTTGAGTCTGCCTTGGTCAATACGTGGAATATGCCTCGTATACCCTCCACTGTCGATTAATTGAGTACCACTTTGCGGGAAGCCAGTGCATCGTTTTCAAAATTCGATTTAAACTGTGCCTCTGCCATGTAGTTCTCCTATGATAGTTAGGACATATTTGTCATAGAGACAAGAACCGCGTTTGCAAGGCAGGCAGTGAACTCGGACGTAGAGAAAATAAAGTGGAAAGGAGGAATATTTCTCTGAAAAATCACGGGATGACTTGGCTTAGCCGGCTGAAGACCGGAAGTTCTGGTGGCATTTAAATTTTCCTTAATGTGCTCTACAGAATGATGAAGACTAAGATCAAGGCAATGTGGAATTTGCATCGCTGGCTCAAGAACACCAGTAGAATGAGCTTTGCCCCCCCCTCCCCGGTCGCTACATAACAAGCTGGTGTTCATATTCTAAACAAGCGACGGTTGATTGCCCTGAGCAATTTGTGGAAATTCCACATTTCCATGACAGAGCCCAGGATATCCTCAAGGCAACCTCTGCTGACTTCTCACAAAGTTGTACTTATTTTATCAACCCTCAAATGATGGATAGGCCGAAGTGGTACGTGACTATGAGTAACAAAAAAATGTATCACCCCCTTCGTTTGATTCATGTGAAGAAGGGCCATTGCTTGTAAACATTGCCTATGATATACGGTTTCCTGTTAAAGCAGTGTCCTTGTCGAATGTTCATTTTTTTGTTTTAAATTGTGTTTGTACACCACTGCCACCACAGCATCACCAAATAATTTGACCGTAGTTAACTTCTTTTGTAATTGCGAATTGTACTTTGCTGCATGACCTTCAGTGACCCTAATCACAGTGCCGCAGTGCCAGATTGTTAGATACTATACCACAGGGTTTCCAAACTTCACTCCTTGCGACCCCTCCACCAGCACGCTCCATATTTCCACGTTTACCTATTTACTCTTCCCATTCAAATACAAACTCTGTCGACGCTGCACCACGCCTTATGATTGTTAAACACGTGATGCACCAGCGGTGACGAGATGTTAACTCCCTCGACTGGTATGCAGGAGGTCGTGGGTTCGATGCCGATCCTGACATCTGCATATTTGGAGTTTGCACGTCTCTCTCCCCGTTGTTGTGTGGATTTTTCTCTGGGTTCCTCCGGTTTTCCCTTCCACATTTAGAATCAACGTGCATTTTTTTTATATATATATTTGGCCACTATAGATTTCCAAACGATAAGCAACTTCGTTGAGCTATCATTTGTGATAGCCAGGTCGCTTCTGAAAAAAAGCTATCTAGCTCAGTGGGCCTTACCTGGTAAATCTCTCTCCCCGTTGTTGTGTTTGTGTGTGTGTGTGAAAGTGGTGCACACAAAAACGGTCCACTTGACGCAGTTAATTCCTTAGCGGTGCACATGGGACTGTTTAACAATCGTTGGGCGCGTGCAGCGTATAACCAGTTAATTTGAATTTGGAGTAAGTTGGTGAGCGTGGATAGACGGAGCCTGGTGGTGGGTCGGGAGGTTGGAAAAACCTGATGTACTAGTGCTTCAATACACCTGAATCACAACGTACCTTTAAAGAAGTTGTCTGCAGAATATTTTTTTTTAGAATCAGACTCTTTATTTAGACTGGACGAATCCGATGAGCCGTGAAGCTCTTTTTCACAGATGTCCAGTCTTCGAACAAAACGTTAACTCTGGGAGGACATCCAGTGTCTTTTGGTGTGCTGAATCACGATGTTTAGTCAAGTGATTTTCACTAGGGCATGGTTCAAGGGAACTCTGAAGGCTGGTGTGCCGCATTTATTTTGGCTTCATGAAAACTAATACTACAGAAGAGTTGCTCGTATTTATTTGTTCTTGAATGCCCGTTATGCTGTGCCCTTCGTCGAGATCTTGAGGTATTTTATCGTAAGAGGACAATTTGATTTTACGAAGAACAATTTATCTTAGCCGGCGAGCACTTCTATTGAGAACGCTTGACTTTTGCATTCGGAAGCCATAGAAGCGCGAGAACAAAAGAGAGGTTTTTACAAGCGAGAGGACTGGGTCGTTCGGTGCATCCAACGCACTCAGTTGTGAGTGGCAAGTCGACTCGGGAGTCTCTTTGAGGCGCATTTACCTAAACCGAAACATTTTTTTATTTACCAGGTGAGGACAACTGAGCTATGCTGCAGCTCTTTTTCGGAAGGGATCTGGCCACAAATGATAGCTCAACGAAGCTGCTTATCTTGTGGACATTTATAGCAGGAGGAAAAAACCGGAGGACCTGGAGAAAAATCAACGCGGCCATGGGGAGAACATGCAAAATCCAAATATACAGTAGGCGTGACGGTCGCGATCAAACCCACGACCTTCCGTATACCAGGCGAGGGAGTCAACATCTCGCCACCGTGGCACCCTTTTTCTTGTAGAGTCTCGGTGAATCGGCTTCTACAGCGCGTTGTGCACAACCGGTTTCAGACTCCCACCACCACTCTCCGTTTCAGAAAGAACACAATCACCTCCTGACCTCGCTCCTGAGCTATATCTTACACGCGGCGTTAACCTGCGGCCTCTGGTTGTTTTCTATGTGCCAAAAAAGCCCCCACACTGTTAAGCAGCTACCGGGCTGAGCTTTGGTACGCCTTATAGCGGAGGTGCAAGACATTTTTTTTTTTAAAACCTCGGCGCCTTTTACCTGTCTGGCTTTTACGGCCGACGATGTTTAATGAAAACAACAAAATATATTCCACAAGCATATTTAAAGACAAGGACCCCCCCCCCCCCCCCCCCCCCCCCCCCAAAAAAAAAAAAGTGCGGCAAATGAATCATGACACGCTGCCGTGTAGCATAGCAACTTTGGCCTTGTAGCGTAGCAACTTTGGCATTAAAATGCTGGCCCGTCATCGGCCCTTCATCAGCGAGGGAGCAGCAGGCTTGAATGGCTTTTATTTGGAGGCCACTCTTTACAAATGGGCGCCTTAAAAGCATTTGGCAAATTTCAAGTGAATGGCACATGAACAGCTTTCCATTAGGAGGTATTTGGTAGTAAATACCCAGAGCCTGCACAGCCCCTCCGTTATTTTTCTCTTAACTCCCAGGTATAAGCAACAGTGTTTGCCTATTACCAGCATACATCCATGCACAATTCTAGTCATCTCTCACCATGCAGATGGTTTTAGTTGCAGTGCTATTAACTTCAGCGCGTTCAAGAATGAATTGCCACCGTTGCCCTTATTTTGGATTTCCATCTGTTCCCATTAGCAACAAGCTGGGCAGATGTATCTGATGGCTGCGAGGGCTAATGCCCATGTTACGGTCGTGAGCTAGTTCCTCAGAGACTCTTAAGATCCAGGATGGGCAATGCATGGGAAAATCAAATAAATGATGCTGAAATTTTAGCCTGCAGCGGCTTGTATCCAAGGAATGCATCTTAATTGAGCATTCTAACAAATACCGCAAAATGCAAGAATTAATATTGGTGCGTAGTGTGTTAGTTTAACATGTATGCTTTCGCGACCAATATCCGTAATATAGGTTTTTTTGGGTTAGATCAAGTAAATATATAAATGTGTCGTTAGATCCGCCACCACCTGACACAGCCAATTAGTAAGGTTTGTCACGTAAACAGAACATGCCAGTTCGTTGCTAGTACAGCACACCGGTGTGTTGGAGAGCAAATACACAACATTTACAATCAGAGTACGACGCTTCACCAGTAATTACAACTAGCTTCATCAGGCGACAGCCAGATTTGTGGAGAAATCCTACTCTTTCCTTAAATAAAGGGGCAGATGTGATGACGTCACTTGTGAGCCCTTCTCGTCCGAAGGGGGGGTATTAACGAACGCATTCATGCTTTAATGCATGAATCTCCCCCCCCCCTTCGCACGAAAATGCATTAATATTTTTGCACGATCTGACCCAAAGAAAACTATATTATGAATATAGTGTGTTCTTATGTCTCGCCAGATGGTCATGTGGTTGGGGTTGTGCGACTTACCGTTATTAGGCTGAGTTGAAATCCTGAGGTATGAGTTTAACATTTCTATCGTTCTTCCAGAATCAACCGAGTGCCACTTTTTTCGTAAGTCAACACAAGGCAGACTCGTTCCCATCGTAGGAATGTGGAATTTCAATGGCTGGCTTAGGGCTGACATCAGAGAGGGCTCTGCCATATTGCTTGTTGAGCAGAGTCACTTTGACTGCCTTTAGTCCTGTCAGTGTGAAGGCGATAACTCTTAACATCTGCGCGTATTGCTACTAGGGGTAGAATTATGCATCGACTCGTTAATTTGTCTTGAGTAAGCTAAATGATACATGCATCAAGTTCCATGTGTTAGAATTGCTGGGTTTTTTTTGTTGCAATTCCTGTTGTGCCACACAACAAAAATGAACCACTTAATTCTACAAAAGGGTCGAGTCA